TCCGCAACACGAAATGACCCGATCCATTCGTGAAGACTGATCGTGATAAATAAGCTCAGCGACAGGTGTCGGATGAAGAGGAGATGCACTCACCGGAGACTGGCATGCAGTCGGCGAACAGGCCTGACGACGCCGCCAACTGGCCTCCCTCCGAGCAGTCCATCAGTGCATAGCCATAGCTTCCGTCCTTCGAAGCTTGAACGACTTGCGCTTTCAGCTTGGCCGCACCAGAGGTGAGAGGGACCTTGACGACGTCGCGCCGAGCAAGATGCGTAGTGTTGAAACCCATGAGGGTCCCACGTCTGCTCAGAGCAGCGGTCTTGGATAATGGGTACGACTCGGGGAAGATGGCCGACCATGCCTCCTCGAGGAGCTGCGTGCCTTCCTTCCGGACTTCGGCATACAGCTTCTCGGCGTCCTCATAGGCCATTCCACTGACGATCCAGTGAGAAATGATGAGGCGCTACGTTAAACATGCTTACATGGCAGAACCCGGGAGCACTGTAGTCGGTCATTTCAGAGAGGCTGCCATACGCAAGCGAGAGCACCACGCACCATCATGGACTGTGATGGAGCGAGTCAGCTACCGGCTGGCTGAAAGGAACGCATGGAACGTACATTGGTTCAACAAGACCTTCTCCCAACAATCGTTGATCTTCTCATTCGGGTAGACGTAGTCACGCTTGTGGAACTTGTACAGCGACGCAAGTGTCGTCAGCAACTATGTCAATAGTCAGACCTCTGATTCTGAACGAGACCTCGCCTAACAGGCTTACTTCGACGTCCTTCAACAAGATTTCGGACTTGCGGTTGCCCTTCTTGATAGAGCCTACACCGATACTTAGACCATATCCCCAGATTATACTGCAGTACGTACCGTGTGAGGTGTAGGTCCCCCGATGGAACTACCACAAATGGTTGAGCGTCATACGAAGTAACATCGATTTGTGGAAATCTCACTTCAAGGTACAACTCTCCGTTCCTGGAATACGACATCAGTTACCAACCACCTAACCAGCATATCGAACAACTCACCAGTTGGGCAGCTTCTTTCCGGCATCGGACTTCTTCGCAACGACGTCGAAGAACTCATCAACCGAGTGCCCCATGTTGACAGGCGGAATTTCGCGCGAGTTGTTTGAGGTTGCACGCATGCGACGGAGCTAAAATGTTACTGTGAGCAGCTATATAATACTTCAGGAAAGGCAACGTACATTCTCCAACATCTTGGCGAGCGGGCCTCCTCCACCGTCGCCATTACCGAAAACGAGCAGCGAGACATCCGAGGATTCGAGGTTCTGACAGATAAGAAGTCTGTCTGTCTGTTGCATATATGGAGCAAAGCGTATAACTGACCTTATGGTTGGTGACACCCTTGTTGACATCGCCTACAGTGGCTTGAGCTGTATACGTATCTACGAACACGCTCATCAGTTGGTCTGAGCAACTGCCAGTGATGTGATAGTGGTACTGACCGACGGGTGTCATGTGACAAAGGACCTGCGTTCCATCAATGCCGACCCAGTTGAACGTCGAATGCGGGAATGTGTTGCTGAAAACTCAATGCTTAAACATACGTGTACCGGGCTCGTAATGGGGTTGCTCACATGTTATTCCTGAAAAGAACACCTCAATCATCGCCCTCTTGCACTCATCAGAAATTTGTATCACTTACCAGCTCAGCTTCTGCGTGAAGAAGTACTTCATGCCAGCCTGGCGGATCAACTGCGGTAGCGCGCCCGTCAAACCGAACGAGTCTGGCAACCACGCCGTCTCACACCTCTTCCCGAACTTGCTCTCGAAATACCTTTGGCCGAGTATGAACTGGCGCGCAAGAGCCTCGCCGCTCGGCATGTTCGAGTCATTCTCGACCCACGATCCGCCGACGGGATGGAAGCGCCCCGCGAGGACCTGCGTCTTGACACGTTCGAACAGCGGCGGGTAGAGCTGCTCGAGCCACTTGTACTGCTGCGCCTGCGAGCAGGTAAAGCGGTGCTCGGGGTATCGCTCCATTAGATCGACCTGTGTGGACCAGGAACGCGCAACCTTCTGTTGCGTCACTCGGTAAGGCCAGAGCCTGTGGCAGGTCAGTACTCGAAGGATGGTCCAACGGAGAGAGGACTGACCAAGCAGTATCGATGTGGCAATGGCCAATGCCCCAAATGGTCGCTTCCTCCGCGCCTTCCTCGTATATCTTGTCGCCCTTATTGGCCCATCCCTCGCCAAACACCGCTTCTGCGAGCTTACGCGAACTAGCAATGCTCCCGAGATCGTCCTTGTCGAATGTGTTCATGATCGTGTTCGCGGTGACGAGGGCCTTGTTCTGCAAGGATGTATTGCCGGGCAGCGTCTCGGAGATCTCGCGCAAGGTCGTGAAGTCCCATAGGAGCTGCCACGCGTCTTGGTTTGGCACTACCAGGTCGGCCGTCGCGAGCCGGAAGTACCTGTTCATCTGCAATTGTGCGCAGGCTGTCAGCAAGACGCTGGGAATATACTGCGGAAAACGTACGTCGGGATGCTCGATGGTGTCGCCGTTCCAGGGAATACCAAACATGCCGTTGCAGGACGACTCGACGATGAAGTCGAGCTTCCGGGCCTTGCGCGCTTCGGACGGAAGGATGAATTCGACGCGACGATCGCCGCCCCATCCGCCTGTGATGCCCTGCAGGGGTGTGCCATCGGTGGTGAAGATCATCGCCTCACAGTCGGGGTCAAACTCGACTACAACAGTGCGATTAGCTAGGCCTAAATGCCTGATAGGCCGAAGACACCTACATTGGACCACTTCATACTGGTCCCAGTACGCTGGCAGAGTCACGGAGACCTTCCACCAGTGGTTTGTCTGTTTCCTTCATTAGCGTCTGTTCGATTGGAACCATTCTAAAAGAGGAAGTAATATGTAGGCCTCGCCTCGCAGGTGAGTATGCATCCTGCATAAATATCTGACGCTTGTGAGCTGACTGGCTCCCATCCGAGCGCTTTCCACTGTGGGCAGGAGGTCCTATGCTGCTACTGGCGGGATAAGGGTGCAATATTCGCTTTCCAATCATGGTAGATGCTGCGTGTGTTACACCCATGCCCTCATGCTCACAAGCGTAGCGAGACACGATGCTAATGAGACATTCCCGTTGACAAAGTTACCGACTTACCCCTGACCAAACCGTCAAACTTATGTGATGCAGAGTACAAGATGTAGGACGTACACGATGGTCCAAATGAATCTCCCTTCTTGGCCGGCTTGAACTTCTGCTTCATAGCCTCCTCGAACGACGGCTTCGACAGGCCCGGCGCGCTCCAGACCTGAAGCTTGATGTAGGCAGAATCATCGACGCGATGGTGGTACAGGACTTGCGAAAGGTTGACATCCGCGTAGTGACCGCCGTTGAAAGTGCCCAAACGGCCTTGGGTCAAGTGTTTGATCCACTTCGCTCCCGTACCATAGTTGGTCTGGGGATAGTCGACACTGGCAGGAGCATGACATCCATGCCCGTGGTGGTGGGACATCTTGCTTGGCTGAACGTAGTTTGTTCACTCAGCACCGTAGCGGTCGATGTTGAGCAAGAAATGAATAGTACGCCTGCGCCGGGGCAACGAACGTAACCACGCGGTTACTATACGGATAGTGAGATAAGCGGAACTGGCGACCTAGATACCAGGTGAACATACGTATCTGTTTTCAGTGTCGTAGACAAAGGGGCTGCAGCGACACAAGCTCCAGGTATGGGTTGGCACAGTCGGAAGAGAGTCGTACGTGTGGGGCAACGTGGGCGTTCTACGTTCAACGTTCAGCGCTCAGCACATTGGTGCAGGGTACATATACTACCTGCTATATATGGTGATTGAACATCCCAACAGGCGCCATATCGGGCCGGGATCTCGGTCAGCTGCTCAGTTACTTTTTTTTTTTTTTTTTTTTTTTTTTTGGAGGGCTGTGATGGTTTGTGGCACTGGCCAATCGGACCAGCCCAGTCAACCAGCCTGCAAGCGGGTTCCCCCGCCATGCTTCCAGGGCGAAATGCAGTTTACGCACGGCGTGTTACGGCCAGTGTGGGGCTCGTTTAACCGGGGTCGAAAGGAGGATCCCCCGGCTCAATACCCACTAAAACCCGAGAGCGAGTCCAATCGCTCGGTAGATCTTGTTCTTTTGCTAGAATACCTTTCCAAGTGGCAATGACCTGGTCACGATTCAGGGCGTCTCGTCCGAACCTTGGGTGCGTCATGGCTCGGTCTAGCCAGATTCTCATGTCCATCGTATGTGTCCACTGATTCCTCACCGACGCCTCAGATTGGCTCCATCCGTCTTCGTCTCCGTGGCCAATGACTCGCTCACACCTGAGCTTCCAGATGAGGTAGACCGACTCGGAGAGGAGGATTCTCCATAGTCGTATTGCTCCCTGGTCTTTTCCGGGGGGTGCGGTCCCTGTCTTCCAAACTCGAATGTTCGTTCCAAGTGCTTCTTCCATACACGGCCGGTTCCACGGGAGACCTCTCTTGGTCCAGACGGCTTCTGCCAGCCGCCATACTATTGACTGCCCCGTTGCTTGGCAGTGGAACAGGATATGGTCCATGGATTCAAGGTCTCCACACCACGAGCAACTGGCACGTTCCTCGTACCCGGGGATGTTAGCCCAGTATTCTCCGACGCGCACTGCGCCATGCATTATCTTCCAGAGGAAATCGGAGATTGGCCGGCGAGTTTCCTTGCTTCGGAGGTTACGCCACAAGGTTTGTTGGTCAACCTCGATTCCGTGATTTGTGCTGAAGTGCCTCCGGACCAGTTCAAGGTTATCTATTGCCCGCCTCTTCTGCGGCTTCGTTCGTCCTAGCATCATCAGGAAACCCCCCTGCGCGAATGTGGCGCGAATCGGCGCCAAATCGGTCCGGCGCGACCTCCCGTGTAAACGGCTTCCAAATCGGTGCAAACAGCTCGTAAACGCCTTCTGAAAAAGCTGGCGGCGTGAACTTACTAAAATCACCGAGCGACTTACTAGTACCTGGCTTTACACACTTAATGTTGCAAGCCGTAGTGGACACTGACTCGCACCAGGCCACGTAGCTAGCACTATATCAGTTCCCAGTCTCAGGAGTATCATGTATTGTAATCAAACTGCTACTATCATCGAAACACATGTTTATATCGACCAGTAAGGATCGCCTCCACCGATGGCGAGCGTGCCAACCTGAGCTCACCCGCCCGACATGATGCTCTTCGCCTTGTGCACCGTCGAACTTGGGAGAGTTCTGCTCCAACACACATGATCAGCAAACCCAGTGTACACCCATAAACCAAGCTCGAAACACGCACCGACTTGCGCTCTTTGTGTCCTGGAAACGTCCGGTCCTTGTCGCGCTCCCGGTGTTCCTTCTCCTTCGGGCTCGTCCGCCCGCTGCGCTTGGGTGATGTGTGCCCGCGCTCCTCGGCCACAGGCGACGACCGACGACTGCCTCGGTCGCGGTCCTTCCCCTTCTTCTCTTCTCTCTGCTTCTCCTTTTCCTTCCCCTTCTTCTCCTCCTTCTCGCGTTCCGCAGCGACATACCGCACGTGGTCCTCGTCGCGCTCGCGATGCGCTGCGACGAGCCCCGCAATATGCTTCTTCTCTGCCTGGCGCTGCTCCCGCTGTTCGTAATGGTGCCGCTCCTTCACCTTCTCCACCTCATCCGCCCGCTGGAGCTCCTCCAGCGCCCTCTTGACTTCAGTAGCTGCCTCGACCACTGCATTCGCAGCCGCGAGGGCCTCCTTGACCTCCGAGTCCATCGGCACCTCCTCCTCTTCCTCCTCCTTCCCAAGCTCGATACCCCGTCTCCGCGCACCCAGTGCAGGCATGAACATATCCATGTTCGTCATCGTCCACGCGAACCCAGGCTCGTACAACTCCGCGAAGCTCAGCGCGTGCGTGTCCTTCGCTGCCCGCGCGTGGTGCTGCACGACGTGCGCGTCCGGCCGGGCATGCGCGGAGATGTTCAGGCGTTCCTGCGTGCGTTCCACGAGGAGGCCCGCGATCCGGTCGTCCGTGCGCTTCTCGCGGTCCTTGTCCTTCGCGCGGATCTTGGGCTTCGTCGATCGCGCGTTCCGCGCAGCGTTGCTCGACAGCTCGGGCGAGTCGTCCCTGCTCGAGTGTGCGCTGGCAACCCTCGACGAGTCCGGCGTGCGGCTGCTCAGCGAGGATGGTGTCCGTGGGAACGGATACTCGGCCAGCATCTCGGACGCGTTGCGCTCGCGGTCCTTGCCCTTCTCCAGTGCGTGCCGTGCCTCGGGGGAGGAGGCGAAGCTCGTGGTCGAGAGCGACATCGACCGGGACGGCACGATGGACGGGGCGGTGGATATCACTGTCGAATCGGACGAGCTGAACAGTGGTGGGGAGAGCGACGATCGGCTTGTGGAGGAAACACCGAGTCCCACTGCCGCCGCTGCGTCGCCCTCGCTCATGCTCCTGCCCTGCAAGCTGCTGATGCCTGTAGGGACGTTCGAGTGGGCGGCGAGGGGAGAGGTCGGCGAGGGTTTCTGGCCGTGCGGCCACTTCTGGTACTCCCACATGCTGAGTTTCTGGACGGCGCTCGGGGGGACGAAGACGATCGGCGGGAAGGGCGGCGGGTCCGTGGGCGTGAGCTGGGCAGCCCAGTTAGAGAGCGATGCGCACGGAGATCCGGCACGGCGACTGCGGCGGGTGGGTGATTGACGATGTCGAGCTGCTCGCAGTACTCGTACACCTGATCAAGCGCGAGGCGGACGAGTGGCGATACGAGAACCTTGGAGGTCAGGCAGAGCCGGGGTGGGGGAGGATGCTCGGCAAGTGATTGACTGTGTAGTCGTCCAGACCCGCGAGCGATCCGCCCGCAGACCATTCGTCGGCCGTGTCTGTACGCAGGGCATCAGTGGCCCTGCGCGCTCGCGGTCGTCGTGCGTGCCGTGCTGCACGTCGGCGCCTCCTGTCCCTGCAGTGAGCGAACTCGCTCGCTCGGGCTTGCACTCACCTGTGGGCACCCGCCCTCGCCCGTCCCCGCTGCCCGTTCACCCTTCTCCACTGTCCACTCATCGTCCGCACCTACCGTCCACTCGCCGTTGTGCCCAAGCCCACGGTCTGTTCATCTGCCAGTGCTGCGTCTGCACGCGGGGTGCTTGCCGTGGGTGCCCGCTCCTGGATGCGAGTGTCTTGATACAGCGACTCGGAATCGCCTGGCAGGCTCCAGAGCAGGCAGTCAGATGGCTGCGCGGGCGATTCGGAAGATGACCAAGCGGACAGACGAAAAGGCGGACACAGAGAAAGAAAGCAGACGCAGCGAAATAAAGCGGATACCAGGCGAGAAAGAAGAAGGGCGGACAGGGAACGCAAGGAGATGGGCGGGGAGTGGGCGAGTGTTGCAAGTGCGAAGCGCTCGGCGAATGCCGATTGCAGCCACAACTGCCACGACGGTGACGACGCACTTGTTGCTCTCAGTCTTCCTAGACTGCAAGGCCCTTCCGTCGGGACCGCTACCCTCTGCCTCCTGTGCTACATCTCTCACTCTGTCTCGCCCTTGACTGACTGCTGCGGATCTCCAGGAGACACACCGACGGCCTCGTCCGCAAGAGATGGGGTGTGCGCCAATTGCGCCGCGACACCCTTCAGCGATGCATCACGAGCATCGCCAGAGGCTTCCGCAGGATGAGGATGGACGCAGGTCACGGCTAGCAGGGCCAACAGTCCAGGTGAGTGACCTGCTTGTCACCTCAACCTCGCAGACTGCCCTGACACGTCAGCTTGACCGGCCCGCCGCGCGTACGCACGACGCACGACAAGCATGAAGCCAACCAATTGACATGGCCAGGCACAGCGAGTCAGGTGCTAAGGTGAGTGTGAGTCCACGCCGCCGATCGAGTTCTTCCTCGTGTCTGACGCATTGGCGATCATCGAGCACACGAAGTGTGTGCTCTTCATCGAGGACGACGACATCACACACATCGCCGAGGGCGAGCTGCACATCCACCGGCTGCGAATCAGGGCCAATGCTCTGCGTGCAGGCACGGCCGACGGACAGACGGCGGGCGGACGAGTGGACGAGGGGGCGGGAGAGTGAGCGGGCGGGCGGGAAGTCAAACGGGTGAGTGGGTGAGTAGGTGGGTGAGCGGGTTAACGGGTTGACGAGTGCACTAGCGGGCGTGTGGTTAGGTGGACGGGTGGACGAATGGCAGACGACAGCATACGCCACCCGCGACTGTGCTGGGTGATTGCCCAGGACGCACGCACGCGAATGGACAGGCCGACGAACGGGTACTGGGCAAGCAGACAAGCGGGCTGGAAGACGGGCAGACCGGCGGGCAATAGGGTGCGTGAGCGGATGCGTAGGTGAGCAGGAAGACGGGTGGGTGCGCGAGCGGGCGGGCGAGAGGGTGAGAGGACGAGCGGGCGGGCGAGAGGGTGAGAGGACGAGCACACGGACACAGTGTGCGGACGACCACCACGCGCATGGTGACCGCGAGCGCGCTGGGCAAATGCCCAGCACGCAGACACGGCCGACGAACACGTGCCCGAGCGGGCATGCGGACGGGTGGACGGACGGGTGGACGGACGGGCGGGCGGACGACGAGCGTACCTACTGACAATTTCCGTGTCCACACCTTCTCGCCCATCCGCTTGCACTGTCGCGATGGCGGGCGCGGACAACGAGCAGGGACAACGAGCAGACGTCGGGCGCGGAAGACAAGCGGGGATGACGAGCGGATGACAAACGGACGACAGGGAAGGGTGTGGCTGCCGAGGGCGAGCGAGGACGAGAGTCCACCGGTGAGTGAAGATGCACGCGAACGAGTCCACTAACGTAGACACAGAACACAGCAACGTGCAGTGCGACGACCGCGAGCACTCAAGGCCAATGCCCTGCGTGCAGGCACAGCCGACGGACAGACGGTGGGAGTACCTCGCCGCCGTCCAGCAGGACCGAGTGCAAGGTGTACGTGACGATGCCGAGGACGAGTTGAGCGACACCGAGAAGGTCTTCTCTGACGATCCGTCGGAACATGGGTCGGACGAGTCAGTGTCGCTCGACGACGAGCATGTCTTCGAGTTCGGTCACACGGACGACGAGGTCGAGGACGATAAGGACGACGGGTAGATACACTACGTCGAGGATGACGTGAACTACGACGCCACAGACCCAGAGTTCCACACCTCGTTCAAGGATGTGGCGTGGTACGATCCGAAGAAGCCCAGGCGGGTCGCAGACGAAGAAGACCTGCGTGAGACGCAGGGCGCGTGGGACGACATCGCGCTCGGGCGCGGGGCGCTCGAGAGCAGGCAGAAGCTCGTCGAGGTGTACGAGAGCCTGATGCGCGCGCTGAACAACCTGGACAATGAGGTCACCTGGGGTTCGTGAGTATTGACAGGAAGTTTGTTGGGGCATGCTCAACATGAGCCGATATACCCTTCTCGATCTCCTCGGGCGTACATGTGATATCCATGTACACCTGCAGCGGATGAGTAGGTGAGCAGGAAGATGGGTGGGTGCGCGAGCAGGCGGGCGAGAGCGCGAGAGGGTGAGCACACGGACACAGGGCGTGGTCGACCACCATGCGTACGGTGACTGCGAGTGTGCTGGGCAAATGCCCAGCAAGCAGACACGGCCAACGAACATGTGCCCGAGTGGGCTTGCAGACGGATGGATGGACAGGCGGGCGGATGGGCAGACGGGCAGACAGATGGGCAAGCAAGCAACCAGGTGAGCGGACGATGGGGTGGGCACAGCAACAGCGAGTGCTCTGGGCAAATGCCTAGCTGTAGGTATCCGTAGAGTAGGGTGGATGTAGTGGTTATGCGTGTAAATACATGCAAAACAATGTGAATTGAAGTACCCAAATTGTATGGCTGAGCTAGTATTTCCTTGCAATTGACAGCCATTGGATGTGAATTCACGCAAATTCGAGCGAGGGAATCCGGGGGGTCAAGTAAATGGGGTCTCCAGGAAATTTGTGCGAATTTGTGCAGATTTCCACAAATTCGTGTGGGGTAGGTTTCCTGATGATGATACCTCTATATGCTATCGATTGCGTGATAGTGCTTAGCCTAGCCCCAGAAAGTAAGAACTTTCGTATGATGTTAGGTTCAACGGGTGTTGTTGCTCCCTGGCTGACTGCCGTTTTTGCTGCCGTTTTAGCTAGCGTTACCAGTTTCTTGTCGTTCTCCAAAGTTGCCGGTCCGGTGGTCGTTACTGCACATCTCGTTCTGAGGTGGTTTACTAGTGCTCGAAGATGTATCGCGTTTGGTACGTCGATCCAGCCTCTATTTTCCCATTTTACTAGGTTGACAGTGAGCGCTTCGCGCATGTAGCTTGAGGTGGTCACGAGATGTAGCGGCGCATCTCCTGGCAGTGTTTTGACGGCATGTAGTGCGGCCATAACTCCTCCAAGTGCGTCGCCCGAGTTTGCTTCGGACTGCACTTGAGTGACTACGGAGTTGCGCGGGTCGTTCTCTCCGAAGAAGACGAAGCCCGCATGTCGGTTTGTCGGACGTCTTGTTCCGCGTGGCACCGGGACGTCCCTCGTACCTAGGATGACCACCGTGGATGCCTCTTCTTGCACTTGCTGTCCTGGGCGGCGTCGTATTGCTGGTGGGGCGTTATGTACCTCGGGGTCTACGAAAGTCCGGAAGGCCTCTGTGACAGTCCCTCGTGCTGTTACCGACGGGTCGAAGGTCACACAGTCTTCGGCTAATAGGGCGGCGTCGTTCAGCTCGGTCCTTCGTCTTGACAGCGACAGGCCATCTAGTGGGGCAGTGAAGCTTGGATGCCACTTGGGTCTGACTGTACTTAGGATGCGCCTCCCAGCGGCTATGCAGGCGCTCGGGTCTCGACAGCCGTTCATGGACGCTTCCTCACATAAGTGGCACGGGCATGGCTCTTCTCTTGGGTCAATACCCGGGTCGTGTCCGGCCAGTAGTTCAGTCAAGTCGGTGAGCTTGCGGACGCCGTGGGCTAGTCTCAGGCAGTCACTGAGGGCCGTATTATTTAATCGACGGAGGCGGGGGGTGGCCCCGAGGTGGTACCAGATGGGTAGATCACCTTTGAGCGTCTTGTCCAGTTTAATGGCTGCGAAGCTGACGTTGTGTTTCTTTGCAGACTTAAGGATGCCCTTGATCTGCTTGGATAGTGTTGAGCGACTTGACGTCGTGGGTTCCCAACTTTGCAAGAAACTGTTTATCTGGGCTTCTGGTCGTATCGCTCCGGCGTCTCTCGAGGCGTGAAAGTTCAGGATTTCATCAAGGACAAAGGCCCACTTCGGTCGTGCTTCCGTTAGGTCAAGATACCTCCTGATCCAGGTGAGGTGTATAGCTTCATTCCGGGCCTCAATATCTAGGATGCCAAATCCACCGAGGTCGCGCGGTTTCTGGAGTACGTCAAGGCTTACCAAGGGTCTCGTTTCTCCCCAGACGAAATCACGGATCATCTTGGTGAGTTCGATCTCGACCGATTTTGGCATGCCTTGGACCTTTGCGAGGTACTGAGTCATTCCGCCGGGTCCCATCTGAATTATGTGTTTCTTGCCTTGCAGGGACGGACAGCATTTGCCCCAACGATCGAGGAAGCTTTTCACTTTAGCGAGTGTGGGCGTCCATATGGCGATCTCATCAACTTTGTTTCCCACCCAAGCCCCCAGGATTCGGACTGCCTCACCATCCTGGGCGATGTGTATATCCTCTGGTATGCGTTCTGTGTTTTGGGGGTCGATTTTCCTCGTGTTGAGTACTTCTGTCCGATACGCCTCGCTTCCGATCGGGATGACCTCTGTTTTATGACCATTGAAACGGGCCCTCGACGCCTTGCACCACGTGTGGAGGATGTCCCAGAGGTGCGACCACTTATCTTCCTTGGACAAGAAGGCTGATGTGTCATCAGCAAACAGGGATGTCATCAGTCTCTGAGCCATTCCAGGGATTTTGATACCTCGGAGGGAGGATCTACGTAGCATGCAGGCCAGCGGCTCGATTGCTATGTCAAACAGGAGACATGAGAGCGGGTCGCCCTGCCGCACTCCCCGGATCACTAGGAAAGTCCCACTCGTCTCTCCGTTTAGGATTACTATCGTGGTGGCGTTCTTGTATAGGTTCTGGATCTTCTTTATGTAGCTCGGTGGGAAATTGAAGGCTGCTAGGACCTTCCAAAGATACTCGTGGTCTATCTTGTCGTAAGCCTTCTCCTGGTCTAGGGCAATTATGACACCGTCGACCTCATATGCTTCCGCGAACTCGACCACCGATTTGCAGAGCTGCGTCTGATCTTCTATGTGTCGACCAGGGACAAAACCGGCTTGGTCCGGGTGGACTATGGAGGTCGCGACACGACCCAGTCTGGTGGCCAGTATCCTGGTGTACAATTTATAGTCGGTGTTTAGTAGCGTTATTGGACGGTAGTTCGCAATTTCCCTCCTGTCTCCCTTCTTATAAAGAGGACACATCCATCCCTCTGCGAAGGTGGATTGAGCGGTGGGGCCATGCCGTTCGAGGTCGTTATATGCTTGGCGTAGGAGGAGCACAACATCGAAGGATGGTGCGTTAGTGTCCTGTTTTTGTTTGCGTTTGTGCTCAGCGCTTAGTGCTTTCCAGAGTTCGTAGGGTATCCCGTCTAGACCGGCTGCCCGTCCTGTGCCTGCTTTTTCGAGTGCTTCTTCAACGTCATCGTTGGTGATCCATGCTGACAGCTCCAGTCCTTGCATTTCAGTTAGTGTTGTCGCTATCGCATCTAGGACCGTTCGTTCAGCCCTTCTCGTCAGTTCGGGGTCTTCAGGCGGGTCTGCGGCTTGTAGTGCCTCATGATAGTCCCTGGCTATGCATGCCATCTTATCCGATCGTTTCTCGTATTTTGCGGGTTCCGAGCCAGGGATGTGCAGGGAGTACATGATGTCTCTTGGTTTCCGGTCTTTATTTATGCTTGACCAATACTTGCTCGGCTTTTCAGCGTTCATTGCGTACCGTGCTGAGGATGCTTCTCTGGTGTCTGAGTACCGTTTGCGTTGGAGTTCCGTCAATTTGTCCTGTTGCGTGCTCAATTCGGCCCTCGCGTTGGCGTTATCATTCAGATCCGGGGTTTGTAGGATGCGTTTGATTTCATCTTCCGCTTTCCTAATTGCGGCCTTTATCTTAGGTATTTTTGACTTCAGCCTGGTGCGTGCCACGGTCCTCACGTCGTCTTTGAATCTCGATAGTATAGATTGGGCATCTGTCGGCAGCGGGCGAGGGTCCTCAGGTAAGGGGGGGGCTCCTTTCTGGATGTTTAAGCCCATTTTAACGACTTCTTTCAGGAATTCTTTATCTTGGATGATATGGAGCGGCATTGTCCAACGGCCCTTGCCGGTGTATGGCGCGTTTTCGGAGCTAAGTTGGGCTGATACCAGTTTGTGGTCTGTCGGAATGCCGGTCGTTTCAATCGTCCAATTGCACGATGCTTGAACGAGGGCTCGTGTCGCATATATCCTGTCTAGTCTGGATTGCGAGTGGGCGCCTCTCTGTGGAAAGGAGAATTGCTTTTCTGACGGCATCGTCGAACGCCATCCGTCTTCGATGCCGAGCTTCCTGGTCAGATCTTTCAGCGCGAGTACTGCGGGTTGATGGTCGTCCCTCATGGGGATCCTGTCAACCGCCTCTTCTACTAAGTTGAAATCGCCTAGCATCACATCCGGTTTCGGTATGTTGGTTTGGTTGAGGCACGTAGATATCGTATTCCAGAACGTGGCATTTTCCCCTGGGTCGTTCGGTGCATAGACATTGAGGATTGTTATGTATCTATCTAGGTGCCATCTTGTTTTAAGTAATATTGCACACCCCGCGATGAGGACGTGAGTTTCCGTGTTCGCGACATCTACTAACTCTCTGTTTAGGACGAAGGCTACTCCTTGAGTTGTGGTTGCACGGGTGGCGGCGGAATTTGTTATCTTCATTCTACGTCCGTACAACCTATGTAAGCTTTCTACCCATCTGTCGTCAAGGTGCGTTTCTTGTAGGGCTATGATGCCTATTCGTTCTTCTCGCATTGCAATATTGAGCGCATTCCATTTGTTTCTTTGTTCAGTCGCAATCTCTCCTTGTCCGCTTATGTTTAGCGTACTCAGCTTTATTGATGCTTTTGTTCGTCGACCTTTCGGTCTGTGTGTTGTGAGAGGTGTAGGGCCAGATGGGATCCGCTGGTTGGCGGACTCTTGCGCTTCTTGCGATCTCGTATCCCGGCTGCCATCCGATGCGGTTGTCCTTGGTGGCGACTCAGCACGTTCAGCAGTCGCCCTGCCACCGAGTTCCTCCGCCTGGTCGTTGAGTCCTTCACGGACAGGGGGCATGTTGGTCTCTCTCTGGCGAAGGAGAGGTTGGCCGTTGCCTGTATTCCGTACCGTAGGTGTGTTTCTTATGTTTGTAGTTGCCGTTGCTTTCAGACCTCACGCTACAACGATCCGCGTGAGGTGGAGGCCGCTCCTGGACCTCTCAGGCGACATGCTAGGGTCGATTCGTCGGCCGTCGCTTAAGTCTCTCGACCGGGCAAGTCTACAAGTGCCCGTCGCTAAGGAGAAAAGGTTTGCGTCTATGAGGGCTTTCCTGTCCCGACTCGCGGTCAGTATATTTGGGCCGACGTTTGGCGCATCCCTTGGTTAGTGACTCATTTCTTTCCGGTCGTGTGCTTAGGATGAGACCGTATTACGGTGTCGGAAGTAAGACCTTGTTCATACATACATGCGACTGCGCGGTCGTTACATGAGGATGATGGTGTCTAGATTGTACGTTACGAGTTTCTTAGTAGCTTCGGCCACGACGACCACGGTCTGCGTTGTATCCACCTCTGCCCCTAGCACCGCCGCGGTCGCTCGACGTGTTGTTACGGGACTTCTGAGGCTGATGCTTCACCGCAGTTGGTTCGTCGGAGGACTTGTCAGGTTCCGGGCCATGCCAGTGCTTGACTCCCGGAAGGTAGCACAGGCCGGTTGGGTGGTCAACCGTGTGGCAGTAGGAGCATCGGACCTTCATGTCGACGGGCATGGGTGACTTCGCGCCGGGCCTGCTCAGGCGGCACGCTTGGAGGTCGCGACGGAAATCGACCCACTCGGTGAGCGTCGACGTGGGTGGTTCGCAATACAGTCGAACCAGGGTGTTCGGGCGACGTTGCGGACCGAAGCATTCGAGTAGGTCGACGTAGACAGACTCCCGTATGTAGGCGAAAGCGTAGTCGACTGTCTGGCCGCGCCATCGACCCATGGTGTCTATGTCGTGCTGGATGATGTCGCGTAGGTTACCTTCAGCGAGAAGCCGGTCGAGCGCCTTGCGGAAAGCTGCGCGCATACCCTCCAAGCTCATGTCATCGAAGTATTCGAGGCCGCCCCAGAATCCGACGAAGTGTGATGTGTCGAAGGAGTACTCAACTATCCCGAAGGTGGCGTCCGAGGTAGACACCCATCGCTTGGCGACGAGTTGACGGCACTGTTCTGCGGTAGGGCCGAAGGCTACGCACCAGTGCGGCGGCTTGTTGTCCGCCTTCTTTTCGTTCTCCGGGTCGGGGAACTCGATTTCCGGTTGAGGGATGCCTAGCCGGCGTAGGGTGCGTTCCATCGCGAGGCGACATTCGTAGCCACCTGCGTCGAGCGTGCTTCGTTGCGGCATTGTGAGGAAGACAGCAGGTTGGTTGCGCGCGTTCCAGTCGTCAATCTGGGTCCTCGATACGCCTTCGACCTTCCAGAATGGGTCGAAGCCGCCTGCGATGATGCGCCATCCGCCAGGTGGTGCGGGGGTTTCGTCCGACAGGGTCATCGGTAACGAGTTTAGGTTGATCGGGGCTCTCGGACCAACGAGGATCGGTTGTGGGCCGTGGTTCCTGTTTTCGCTCACTGGTCTCTGATCATGGTAAGGTGGGCCCGCGCGCACGTCGAAGATGGGCATCGGGGGTGGTTCATAGTTCTGAGCGAACGGCGGGAGCACGTGGGCTTCCTCCATCACAACGTCCTGGGGCTCGAAAGTGGGCGGGCGACGTGGTGCAGGAGCGGCAACCGGGATTCTCGCGGGTCCTGGAGTCGCGTTATGACGGGCCGGTGGGGGCGGTAGGGGCACGTACGGCGGGAAGACCACCTCAGCAGGATGATGAAAGAGGGCGCGAGGGTCTCCGGGGGAGAGTGGGCGCCCGATCGCTCTTTCCGGCTCAAAGGCGGTCCTTGTGAGGGGTGTTCGCCAAAAGACGGGCTCCAGAGGCTGTGGGAATAGTGGTGCGGGAGTGCGAGGAGGCTGCTGAGGTGGGTGTGGAGTGTTCGGGAGCCAGAACACATCGTGGGCACGCGTAGGAGGGGGGAAAATCCTCTCGGCCATAGGCGTTCTTTGGCGTTGCTGGGCTGCGAAGGGGGAGTCTACTCTCGGCGGGTTGGCAACGTGGGATACAGCTCGTGGCCCACCGGCGTGCTGGCGGGTTGCCGGCCTGGAGGCGTTCGCGGGTCGTGTGCGAGCCGTGCTAGTGTGCGGTCGAGCAGGTGCTACGCGGTTGCCTGATGGCTCGTTCTGCTGCGTCAGGGCATCGGGGGGTGGGTAGGGCCTGGCCTGGGGGATCCATGGCTCGAGAGTGTCCCCGTTTCGGACGTCCATGTGTGGGGCCGCATCGCGCCTTGGGCCCGTGTGTGACGGTCCCGCCGGCGCCCTGAAGGGAGTGCGAGGGGGTAGAGGAGCCGGGTGTGGGCGGTGGTTCTCGGTTATCAGGGACGCATCGATGCCGTTGTAGTAGATGAAGTGGGATGCTGATGGGCGTACATCGTCACCTTCCGGTGGCTCGACATTCATCGCTGTTTCGCTATCGGCCACCCTCTCGGCCTCAGCCATCTCTTCCAGGCGACGTACAGTACTTGGGGACGGTTGCACACGGGCAGGGTCTCCTATGCTACCTTCGTCGCCGTTGTCGCCCGTGACTCGGCGGCGCTTTCGGGCGTCGCTGACAACGCGAGTTTCCTGAGCGGCGGTCGACGGTGGAGGGCCCATGCCGATGGAGGAGGTAGCGGCCTCGTGCGCCCTCTTGGGCGCGGCCTTTTTCTTCCCCTTGTCCTTCTTCCTGCGAGCCGCAAGGGCGAGCGGGCTACCGGGAGACGACATGGGGGCTGGGGGCTCGATAGCTGGCGTGGTCCCGGCGTTCTCGGGTCTGTTGGCTGCGGGTTCGCCCGCTGCTGGTATGACGGGGGTCTGCTCTAGGTCGAGGTGCGGTATGTCGCCGTCCGCGTGGACCGGGCGGAGGACCGGCGTCTGGGGCAGAGGGTGGTTCGCTGGTATGGCCGCGGCCGTACTAGCCTCTGGGAGTGTTGGGGTTACACGGCTAGGAGAGGCATTGCGGGACACCACCGCTGCGTATGCTGGGACTAGTCAGTCTTCGCTCGTGTGTTGGTCGGTTCTGCTTACAAGGAGACCAACGTCCGTCTGCGGTCATGGAAGCATTCCATGGGTTCTTCGATGGCGACGTCGGCGACGGGGATATACCACGTCCTTGACTCACAACTCCGCGAGGTATAGCGGTCTACATTCGGTAGGTGTGAGGTGAGTGTGTAGGAGCAAGTTTGTGTACTCACGTTGAGCGTCGCGGCTTTGGTCGGTGCTTTTTTCGCGGGCATTGTTCTGTTCTGCTGGGTGCGGGATGGCGGTAGCAGTGTCGATCCGAGACTTTGGCTTGTTGTTTATATCTCAGTGTCTCTCAGTTACGGGAGTCACCCACGTGGGTATTCCACATGGCTATATTGTCTCGAGGTTACGCACCTTTCTGCGTGTTAGCGTATTAACGTCGATATTCTCGGATATTTGGTTGCTTTCTGTGGAGGCGGGATGTTTGCGGCGCTTCAGTCCACACCCTCGGGGCCCATCGTGCCCTAGATTTGCAGTATTCGGTGGCCTATGTTGGCTGTTCCCATGTTGGTCTCGTTGTTTCTCCTGGGTTTCCTGGTGAGCTGGTAATCTCCTTCGCGTTTCCTTCACGTGCCTTCGGCACGCGCGGCCTGGCGTTTGGTAGCTCGATTTTGGCCTTCTCGGTGTAGGCGCTCCCATTCTCTATTTTATTCTGTCTTTGATGACATGTCGCGTGAGCCTTGACGTGTCTTGGATTTGGTGAGGGTCCTTTACGTTCGTTTGACGTGGCGCTTGTCGGGCGCGAGTTTCATCGTGACTTTATTCCCGTTTCCATGGTTCGTTCTTCAGGGTTATCGTTCTAGGCTTAGGTATGCGCAGTCCTGCTGTCCGACGGACGCGGCAGAGGGTGCGATGTTTAGGTTGTACCTTGAGCTAGGACTGTCAAGTTCCTTAGATTGTCAAACATGTTATCGAATGATGTGGGGATAGGGCGGTGCTCGCCGGATTAGTGGGACGGGATTTACAACATCATTTCTGTCAGACCGTTCCCGATTTACTCGCCCCTCCGATGCCCTCGCCCTCTCTTTCTGCTTCCGCGTTCCAGTCGTTCGTAATTCTCCGGAGGCGGCGGTTTAGCTGTTTCAGCTCGATCTCCGGGATTTCGAACTCGTACGGGTTGACTTTGTCGTTCCTGAAGGGTGGGAGATGGCGGAAGTCCGGGTGTGGACGAGGCAAGCTGGGGAGGGTTGCGTAGTTCGAGGCGTGGGTCATGCCCTCGAGGTTGTCTAGCGCTACCCATGGGACAGGGACACGTAGCGTGCATTTCGGGCGGGCGCCCGTGATCTCGAACGTGATCCAGTGACGTCTAAGAGTCACGACCCGTGACAGTCTTCCTACTCCGGATCGTTGTGACTCGGTTTGCAGGCGTACGAGCTGCTGTTTAGCCAGCTGCCTGTGCGGTCTGTCCTTCACGATCCACGTAAGGCCACTCCTTTCCTCCATCGTCGGCTGTTCGTTGACGTCCACCTCCGTTACGGGGAGGTTAGAGTGCTGGAGGGTGAGTTGGGGAAGAGGGGTAGGGATGGGGATCGGTGCATGACGTTTCCTCTTCTGTTCCTTCTCAGGTACATTTTCTGTTGTGGCCAGCTGTGGTTCTGCTGACATGCTCGGGTGTAGCGCGGCGGGGAGGATTCGGCGAGTTTTCATGGTTATAGACTTGGGATTTTCCTGACGTTATAGCTGTTCGTTGAGCGTTTCTTTTGAGCGTTTGTGGCGTTGCCTAATCTTCCTTCTAGGGCTTCTTCAGCGCCTGGACATGGCATGACGGCTAGATATGCCGTTTACTTATGCTTATGAGAGGAGTAGCTTCCATAGCGGGTGTTTATGCATGAGTTGTCTTGGTTCCAGTCCCATCATTTGTCTGCCTATTCTTATCCCGGCACGTGTGTGAGGTTGATTTCTCGCTTCGGCCTATATCACCTGATGTTCGGCCATGTCGGGCTGCTCGAGGGTTTCGGTTCTCTGTTCCAGCGTTTTGGGGATCTGTACAGTTGCGTCGGGGGTTGCCGAGTGTCAACTTCCGGCTTGATGCTTGAACCTTACTTGCTGCGTGTATCGCGAGTTTTTAGGTTTCGGGAAGGGCCGGTGGGCGCTTCTTTGAGCGTCTCTCTTCACAGGCTCAGGAGGGGGAAGAGGTTTCGTTGCCGGGCGAGTTGTAGTCTACTCTGGTTGTATTCTCTTATTTAGGGGAAGAGGCCCGGGTGTGGGCAGGGAGCTCGGTGGCTCTGTGGGGTTATACCCGTTACTGGTGACCCGATGTGGGTGGATTGTCATTGGTTTGACGGATGTTGGCCTCGATGGGTCCTGGATGTCGGGGCTGGTGTTGCTCCCGGATCCTTAAAGTGCATGTTCGTTTCGTCTCGTAGAGACTACTTACCCCCCGGACCACGAGAAGGTCTGCACAGGACTCGTCGCGAGGACGAGCCCTCCCGGGGGCTGCTCAGTTACTTACACTGCGGACAACCCGGATTGTGCGAGGCGCTTACATGGGCCTAACATTGCAAGAACGTGTATATTAGTAAGCCACTAAGTGAAAATCCCTAACATGGGAAGTACATGCCTAGAACATGACACGATTTCGGAACATAGGAAGAACATAGCACTTACATTCCCGATTTTGGGAACATTCGAAATGTTAGCCCGAACAAAGGAATACCATTCCCTATGTTACGAGCTCCGACTTGGAGCCGTAAAAATATACACGCCCTTACAATGTAAATACCATGTGAGCGCTTCGCACAACGTGGTTCGTCCGCAGTGTTACTTGAAGTGGAGACAATTACACCATATACTCAACATACTTATACCAGTACTCGTGTATTGTACGTGTCCAATTGCCTCGAACGGCGGACTGTTACTGTAGGAGGCAAAGGCAGACAGTGAAGAGCTATCCTGGAGCTATCACAGAACCCTGTGATCAAGAAGTTGTGTCAGAAGTTGTGATGATTGAAGTGCCGAGAACTTGCAGTGTTGTCACCGAAACTGCTCCTGCTCTCGACCTCCTCCTCTTCGCCATCGCCATCTATTCATCCTTCCTCCCCGCGTCTTCGCGGTGCATTCTCAGCCGTAGCAAGCTGCCACCTTTCTGGCATGTTTCCAAACCTTTGAACTTCATCTCACCACTGGACGCTACGTACTGCGATACATGACTATTCCGTCAAGTCATTTCCATTCGGCGCCGCAATAGTAGTCTTTCCCAGAGAAGTTGTGCTTAGATGGCGAAGAAGAGCTCCCAAACGGCCGAAATGCACCAGTCTCGCCCCTCGCAGTCGGGCATCCCTGTCTTTACCCCACGCAAACCGCAGAGCGCACTCCCGAGCACGCTTTCTACCCCCCAGCTGGGCCTCGTATCTTCTACACGACACCTCTCCGTGAGTGGTAGTCCGACACATCCAAGTCCCAGCTCGTCGTCGTCTAGCACGAACGGCGGCATCACACCCTTTCGCTCGTTTCGCAGCCTCTTCTCTACTGCGTCAGGTTCGTCCAAGAACCCACCTAATCCGACCCCTCCTGTCGCTTCTCCAAAAGCATCCTTCCCTGCAGCCGCGCTCGGGTCTATACGACGTTCCATCGGAGGCGACCGCAGCGTCTCAGCTCCGAACCTTCGCCAGGAGCCGTCGTATGAAGACACGCCCGTGCTGCAGATCGACCTGCCGCGACCGGACTTTGAGGCATTCATGCACGGCGCCGGTTTGTCGCAGCGCGAGCCTTCCAAGTCTGCGGCACCAACCCCACCGTCTTCGTTTCCGAGCTGGACACCCTCTGCGTCACAGCTCAGGACACCATCGACGACAGGGTTCACTGAGCATCGGCAGACCATACAGCAGGACCGGAGCCCGCCACGTCCGCGCCGGGATGCGCTGCCCAAGGACTCGCGGTTCTCGCGACCCGTCACGGAGCCTTCGTTCGTGCGGGCTCCCAATGTTGGTGCCCCAGTGCAGTCGAATTGCCCGACCTCTTCTGCACAGGCGCAGCATCCAGATGGTGAGCAACACATGAGTACATCTTAGCGTGTTACTAAATTATACACCAAGGCTTCGTGCCCTCCCCTTCGCCCTCACCAGCGGTCAACCCAACCGACCTCTCCACCATCATCGAGGCCGAGAACTCCGGCCTGTCCAAACACCTTCCGCCGCTTGATTCTTCTCAAGAGGGGGACACGTCTCCGTCGTCTGACGACGATGCTGCTGACCCTGAAGAGGACACGCTCGACCCGAAGCTCCTTCACGCATCTTCTCGGAACCGACCGGCACGGACACCACCGTCGAAAGAGAGCTCGGTGCTCGACCTGTCGACTTCAAAGGTGACGAGTGAAGTTTTGCAGGCGATGGGAGGTGCAGGTCCCGACCGCACGCAGGGCTGGTTGGACGGCGTGGTCGTGGATGATCGGGAGCAGGACCCGTTAGTAGAGAGCGGGAACACTGGCGACGGCGACGTCAGCTTCAACCTGAGCGAGCTCGATCCTGACCTTGCAGCCCTCCTATCGCCGAACCGACTCGTTAGCCCGAGCACGGAGCCTGCGTACCAGTTTGGCGCGGACAGCCTGCCTGCGCCACCGTCGCCTAAAGAGACTCCAGCCGCTACGTCTCCATCCGAGTCACCCCGCCGCCCTACGTTCTCGCGTACCCCGCCTGGGTCGTCACCTCCGCGACAGCACGAACCATTGCGGATGCCCAAGTCACGCACGGCTCCTAATCTGCCGTCTTCACTGTCTTCTCGGCCTAACAACCGCTCTGTTTCTGACCGCCCAGCCGTTCAACGATCACACTCAGACTCGCCTCCGCTCGTGGTCCCCAGCGCCGCTCGCGCTATATCGCACAGTCCTGAGAGACCGGCGACAACGACTGAGGGCCAGCCGCGCGAGACCCTCGACCACTACGCATCTCGCAGACCTCATACTGGCACTGGGGACTCTTCCGCGAGTGCACTCCGCAGGTCTGCGATCAGCCGTCTGCTTAGCCCTGCCCGCCTCGGCCCTCACGTGACCCCACCGTCCCGCCCACCGTCACGGACCTCCCCCAGGCTGCCGCAGGATGCTTCGCTTTCTCCTCCCATCTCGCGCCCGTCCTCTGCTGCGGGGATCTCCTCCGCCCGCCTGCAGGCCGCCACGCGCTCGAGCCTCGATGTAAGACCCGGTACAGCCGAAGGTTCGCGCCCGCCCGCCACGCCGCTCCGCTACCGCAAGCGTAGCCTGAGTGCCGTCGAGGCGGGCCGGTCAGCTCTGTCTGGGCGCGAGTACCCTCGTGCACACCCCTCACGTCCTACAGCCGAATGGCTCGGCCCGCAGACCGCAAAAGCATTCGCTGCTGCAGGGCTGCTCGACCAGAGCTACGCACGAGATCGAGAGAGCCCCAGCCTCGGCCGACGCACGCCCTCTCGCTTCGGCACCACGAGGAGCAGCATCGACGACTCGCGCTCACGCTACGTCCCTTCGCGGATGGCCTTCTCGGAGGCAGGCTCTGCCGGATCCTGGACGCGCGGTGAGACCCCGAGCGTGTCGCGGAGAGGGAGTATAGTGCGGACTCCAGCGTTGACAGCGACGGCGTCAGAGCTCGGGAGCCTGGAGACGCCCCGCACGACGTTCTCGGCTGCGTCGACCGCGCCGACGTCTGTGTCGGCGTCATCCTCAGCGCATCTGCAGAGTGAGCTACAGTCGCTGCAGGAACAGCATCAAATCGAGACGGGGGCCTTGCTGAGCGCGCTTGCGGATAGCCAGCGAACAGCGAAGGTACTGAGGGAGGAGAACACGCAGCTTCGGGACCGGCTAGCGGAGATAGAGTTCAAGTTGGTCGGAGCCATGGAGGAGGTCCAGAAGTTGCAGTCCGCCCCACCTCCCTCTTCGCAACTTGGTTCCCGGGTCAGCCATTCACGCTACGGCTCTGTAACGGCAGAGCGAGTGAGCCGTGTGGGAAGTCGCAGTCCGCGCAAACAATCCGTCTTGCGGGAATACGAATCTCCTGAGGGGTCATGCTCTTCTCCGTCGTCAGAGCACAGCCGTACCGTCGTGCCAGCTGTAGCCAACCACGCGGAACTTGAGCCCTACCTTGACACCCGCCGTTTCAACAAGCGTATGAGCACCTCGTCTTCTCTGTTCCACGGGCCGCCAAGTAACATGAGTATGCTCATGCACGAGGAGGCTCTGTCAGCTGCTGGCTCTGGGACAGGCGAACGTGATCATTCCGTCGTATTCTCGAGTCGACCGCAATCACCAGCCTCGCCGACGCTGGTTCTGGCGAAGCTGAGCACCGGTCCTCTTCCCATTGCAGGTCTTGAGGAGAAGGTGATACCAGAACTGGGGAACATCTCCCCGACTACTGCCGACTTCTCGATGGCTACGTCTTCGCCGGGCAGCTTGAACCTACGACCTGAACATGAGCTGCATCTGGAGGACATGCCGAGTTTCGAGTTAAATCCCGACCAGGACGACGATGACCAGTATGACACTGGTCGTCTGTAAGTAGAGTATACATCAGTCTATTTTGCTGTCATATTCGCATTCGCATTCGCATCTGTCATCGCATCCACACTCGCATCGACATACTTGCTTCCGATTTCGTGTACAACCTTGGGGAACACTTTAGCATTTCGGTTCGCAGTTCTCGCAGATACACACTTGAAAGATTCCCTGTTACATTACTGATACCATTCGATATTCATGGGTGAGAACCCCCCGTCTTCGCGAGCATATGATTACCATGCGCAGCAGGTGCTTGTATAGGACACTACGTATGTCTGCATTCGCTGCAGAGCTGTCTGTAAAAATATGACCTTGTTTGACACGTCATGCCATATTTTGGGTTCCGTGTTACTCAAGCAAGTCTGGCTATACATAGTCTCCCCTAGGCAGACCCTAAAGAAGACCTCTGAGTGGGGGAGAGGACTCGGACGGGGGCTATGCATGTTGCAAAAGCGTACTACAGCATGGGAGCTCGAATTGCATCTGCCTTGATACCGCCGATGTAGTAGCTGCAGTGACCATTAATGTAATGGTGCCGGCATAGGACATATACGGAACCCCTTCCTCCGTCTGCTCCTCCTCCCAGTACTAGTTGCCGTGAACTTGCTTCAAGTTCATGGTGAATGTGGCTGGCTCAATTGACATCTATTTGTTGCTGCCGTTGTGGCGTTGACGCATGGCCACCCGCACGTCTGTTCGTTTTCCTTGTGCAAACTTCACTTTGTTATACTCTATCTGTAATCTAGCTTCTGTTCTGTCACAACTTGTAAAGGACAACTTATACGAGAGAAACGCACGCACAACGGCCAGAGCGTCACTGAGCCAGCGCTGCAAAATTTATCAGAACTCTGCAACTGACTTCCCTGGAGTCTCTCGGTTACCCCCAATTAATGACATTGCTCCGGATCCCGCATGTGCCACCGTCAGTTCGTCTCGGATTTACGCCCAGTCCGCCGGCCATGGCAGCATCTCCATAGGTGATGCTTCACGCGGTACAGTATTTCGCACATAATCTTCCTTATGAAAAGCATTCATTGACATCATGCTGCTCCCGTCAAGTACGTATTACCGGTGCCGTATACAATTCCGTCACGGCCGCCGGGCTCAGTCAATCGTCGACCGAAGGCCATGTTCCTATACACACGATGCTACTTGGTGACACTCATCCCCGTGGCTTCACCTCACTGGGCTCGAGATCCGCCCGATTGACTGTCCTTATCTCTTTACCTCAGGGCATATACTCGAGGCGCCGTCTCATAGCGCTGCCAGGCCGGGAAGACAGCGTCAAGGGCTTAATTTGTGTCTTTTCGGCGCGATCCCCACTCTGCTTGCCTAGCCAAGCGGTGGGTGAGACGGTCTTATACACAGTGCGTCAGGACCACACAGCCTGTACGAAAGACTTCCTTTCTCACCCTGAAGCGGTGGCTTCCCACTGCATGTATGACGGTTGTCACATCCGCTATATTTCAAAATGGTCTGTTTCGTGGCAAACTACCTCTGTCCAGCGATAGTCCAAGGGGTCAGGCGATATCTACCGGTGAGTTTCATTGTCCGTAAGTGTGCAGCTCAGCGGTGTTACACCGCGTCATTGAGAAAACCACACACGCGCTGATGCAGGTCCCGAAGGCTCCGTTGCTCGACTTCGTGTCTGGTGTCCTACATGCGCTTGGCTTATCGTGTGTATATAAGGCCTGCCAGAGTTTGCATGCCCCGTAGGGCCGCTGCGCAGACTTGCGCCCCCTCAGACGACCCAACATGCTGCGCGCTACGCTCGCATCACCTCTCCTTCTACTCGGATTGGTCGCATCTGCCGTCCACCTGCCGGTAGTACCACCCTCTCAGGAAGTCCTCGAGCCGTCCGGAGCACGGAAAGACGCTACGGTGCTCATTCTTGGGGGAGGCGTCGCCGGGGTGACCGCGGCACGCACCCTCCATGAACAGGGCATCGACGACTTTATCCTAGTAGAAGCGAGAGGCGAGCTCGGCGGTCGCCTCATGAGTCATTCATTTGGTGTACCTAGCAGGAAGTTCACTGTCGAACTCGGTGCGAACTGGGTGCAGGGTACGCAGACCGGCAATGGGGCTGAAAATCCCATATGGACTCTGGCGAAGAAGCATAACGTCACGACCCGTTCGAGCGAGTATTTCGGTAGCATTTGTGAGTCGCCTCAACACCATATTGTACGACAAAGTGCTGAACGAAGTCTAGCGACATATGATGACTCAGGAGCGTTCGATTTCCGCGATATCTTCGATGCTTCGGTTGAAGACTTCCATAAATTAGTGGCCTCAGCGGGTACGTCTTGACATACTTTCGTGACGAGAACACTTGGTTTGATCGATATGTGCCGTCATAGGTGGTCGAGTTCCAAAGAGACTCGTCGATATGTCAGCACGCGGCGGTTACTCACTCACGGGCTCACACCCGGAATCCAAACATCAAATGGCGTCTGAATACTACCAATTCGACTGGGAGTTCGGTACCACTCCAGAAGAGACCTCATGGCTAGCTTCCTCATGGGTGCATATTTCCGCTCAATCGCCTTCCCGCGGCGGTAGACTCGCCGCATAGGTCGTAGGCGGAGGCAGTACCGCCGCTTTGAAATGAGGCTGATTCTTAACTTAGGCACATAACTACACGTTCGACCCGGCGTCTGGTGGGTTCTCGTATGAGAACCTTCTCTCAGTTGACCAGCGTGGCTTCAAGACGCTGATCCAGGCGGAGGCGAGGGAATCATTGAAGCCAGCCCAAGTTCGACTGAACTCGACAGTCAGCGAGATCAGCTCCTCGAAACACGGTGTGAAGGTTACACTCACAGATGGGCATGTACTCCGCGCGGACTACGCCCTCTGTACCTTCAGCCTTGGTGTCCTACAACACAGCGACGTGAAGTTCGTCCCTCCTTTACCGGCATGGAAGCGGGAGGCCATCCATAGCATGTCGATGGTAAGCGCGCGCCACTTTGGTTTTGATCGTCCTTGAAGATGTAAGTGACGATGGATCTGCAGGGTACGTATACGAAGATCTTCCTGCAGTTCCCAGAAAAGTTCTGGTTCGATACGGAGGTACGTCAACAGTGCCCGATCGATCCATAGATCGTGTTCTCGATGACATGTCCGCTCTGGCAGATGGCGCTATATGCCGACTACGAGCGCGGACGGTACCCTGTCTGGCAAAGCCTGGACCATCCGTCGTTCCTTCCTGGTTCCGGGATCCTTGTGGTAACTGTCACAGTGAGTTAGTCTTGGAAGTCGCGCTACGATTGCGGAGATGACTAACATCCAAATAACGCCCTCTTAGGGCGACTTCTCCAAGCGCATCGAGTCACTGCCCGATTCGTACGTTCAATCGGAAGTGATGGACGTCCTGCAAATGATGTTTCCCGAGGTGGATGTGCCCGAGCCTACCGACTTCTACTTCCAACGCTGGCACAGCGACCCGCTGTTCCGCGGATCGTACTCGAATTGGCCGGCGGCTTTCCTCAGCGAACATCAAGGCAACTTGCGCGCGAACGTGGACGAGAGACTTTGGTTCGCGGGCGAGGCAACCAGTCGGAAATACTTTGGTGCGCACGCTGACGGTTCGCAGCGGATACGGTGTTAATGAAACTGCGACAGGGTACCTGCACGGTGCTTACACGGAAGGTGAAGCCATAGGGCAAACGTTGGCGGAGTGCATCCAGGGAGGCGGATGCTTCGGGCTCGAGCACATCGACCGCGTGCAGAATGCGAGGCCGTATGACATTATCTAGGAAGTTTTGCGACTGAGTGAGGCTGATGATACCCGAATATCCTCATGCATGTATGTTAGTTCTGTATGCCCCCTCTGTCGTAGTAGTACCGGGCCATGGCCATTGGAAGTATGTAGGTAGTCATTGACACCATCATCGATTCGTGGGCCACCGTGTGTACTCAGCAATGTCGGATCCAGATGCAATTCATTTGCGTCAGCCTTCGATGTGTGGGACAGTTGAGAAAGTGCATGTATGGTACTGCACAGCTGCTGACACGGGGGTCTGCAGTCGACGGCGTGTACATGAACGATGATGCAATGGATGAGGGCCCGTATCAACAGCGCTGTGCGGACACGTAGCTAGTGGTCAGACTAATGGAATGAAGCAGTTTGGCATGGTCCTCGAGGAACAAATCGGCCCTAAGGTCGCCATTGGCATTCACCGGCCGGACCTACGAAGGACTGGTGGTGAGCGCTAGCTCACATCATGAGCCTGGCGTTCTGAATCAACAAGCTTGTTCCCTTCAGATCTCGAGATTTCGACTCCTCGGGTGAACACCGAGGAGAATTCTGGCGAATGATTGCATTTGAGGTTACGGACCATCAGCTGTTCTCTTTCCCAGAGAACTTGCGACTCTTCACTGAAGAATCAGTCGACGCGCCTACGCTCGAGCTCGTGCCAAGTTCAATTCACTCGATTTTCTGGAACCACACGTCTGCTACTTCGTTCAAGGGCCCTTCCCTTAGCGTCCTACCCTCCTCGCCAGTAACGTTCACGATGCCGCAGCCCACGACGACTCCGGCGCGGACGACGCACTGCACGTCTATCGTCGAGCCTTCCTCGACGCGGTACACGAAGGGCGTCGTATCCTTGCCGTAGCCATCCGGAAAGAGAGCAATGAACTCCAGATCCCACGCGTCGAGCTTCTCGCCCGGGGCCAGAGATTCGACGTCACGTCGAGGGCGCTCAGTGGGATCCGGCGTGAGTCGGATGTGCGAAGACGTGAATCGAGGGTAGGCCGCATACAGTCCGGGGTGCTCCCCGAGCTCATCACAGGCAGCGAAGTCGGCGAGGACGCGGCTGCAGTACCCCGTCTTCGTCGTCGGCGCGCACAGGGTGAAGTTGCCGTACGCTGCGTTCGCGTATATGCCCGTATATCGGGTCAGCGAGGCCGCGAGCACGACTGTGGTAATCTCCTCGTAAGATCCGTCCAGAGTTGACGTGTCATTCTCTCGTCGGTGTGTGTCGGAATCCACGACGCGCGGTAGCTTCAGGACGTCTTCGATCACGCGATACGCGACCTTGTGGTACGCTTCCTGGGGCAGGTCTGCATTCGAGAGGGCGACGACGCCCAGCCTGGCGGAAGGAAGGAAGAGCACTTCACTCAGGTGAGAAGGCATGCGTCCGGTGTGGCTAATGATCTATCGCGTGTGCGCACATTAGCATTTCACAACGCGAATACTTATGTGATTCAGGAGACCGAACGTACGTCGTGTCCCTGAAACGAAGTTCGCTCCCAACCCATACCGTAGCCCTTGACAGCCGTATAGGAGTAACGCGGAGCGCCGGTCACGACTGCGTGAGCTGTCGTCATCTCCTCATAGATAGATCGCGGTATGACAGTCAGGTTCGTCTCCGGGTCTACGCCTTCATTCAGGAGGGTCGCGATCCATTTGCTCTACTCGTTCAGCTGTCATAAGCTCACAATACCAGACCATGCAATCGCGGCTGACTTACCATATCGATCACGTTCGAGACAATCCCTGCAGGACCGTCCCATGCTTTTGATGCATTGTTGCCCAACCAGAGAGGTAAACGCCTCCCAGATGCAGTCCAGCTTTGGCTGAGCCGACCGGTCGACATCGCTTCTGCGCGTGAATATGTACTGGATGTCATGCCGAGTGGCAGGAAAATCCGCTCAGTGACGAAGTCTTCGTACGGCATGGCAGAGTAGGTCGAGATTAGGTGAGCCCCGATGGTATAGAACTGCGACCCGATCATTAGCTCGGCTCAGACTATGTTTGAAGACAGTGATTCATGTGCGTACTAGATTAGTGTATGAGAATCGTTCTCTGAGTTCGTAGGCCGGTCGTAAGTGCTCCATGTGTTCTAGAATAGATACGGGTGACTCGTAATCGCCGTAGACGAAGTCCTGGCTACGAGGACGATGGCATGTCAGTTGTGCTCCAATGACAAGCCTCATTTGAGATCACTAACCTGCCTATCCCTGACATGTGCGACAAAACATCCCGAAAGCTGGCTTGGGATCTGGCCCAAGGATCCGCGAATAACGGTGGATCGTCCGCGCGAAAGACATCTTGGATCTTCGTTTCGAAGTCGACTCGGTCCACTTTATGCGGAAGTGCTGTGACATTCCGTCCCAGCGCGTAGTCCTCCATGAGAATACCCAACGCTGCCACCAGGAAGGCCTTGGAGCATGACCCAATGTTGAAGAGAGTCTACGTAAAGCACTATGGCGGTAAGCAACGTCGTCCAACCGAGATGCATTGGAGGCAAATGTCATTTACATCAACACTCGTGGGGTCTGCGTCTTCCGTCATACGCCCCCATGCAGCCCAGTCAGTCTGCACCTCGCCCGTGTCCGACAACCGGACTGCAGCGATAGAAAGCCCGGGAACTCCCTCCTCCCTCAGTGTCTTGTGCGCGTAGGCATCTACGTCGGGCGTTATCGCCCAATGTTTACCTTCGTCTGCGGCCAGGTCACTGCTGAGAGAAACATGACGACCGAAGGCCGAGAGGTTCAGGAAACGATACAAAGGGAGGAACGCCAATCCTATGATCGCCGGTGGTAGAGCTACCAGCAATCTCGGGCGTAGCAGCATCCTGGCTCCCGTTCAGCAGGCGGCCTTCATCTAGAGCCGTTGGATTGCCACCAGACTTTCACGGTGCAGTGGCAGGTTGGGTCAACATGGGCTGGGAGCGACCGCGCCGCCGCTGCCAGCGGGGATAGACATGCCTGAGATCTAGATCTGACCCGCCCATTTCGACGTTTCGGACGAGAATGGCAATCGCCGAGACTGACACGCCGGGCCACGTGCCACGCCTCCTCCTCCCAGTTTCTGTCAAGTTAGCGCATCGATCTCCAGGCGAGCGTACCTACTATCGCTTGACAATATTAATGACATTAACTTGACGAAATACTGGCATACCGACCACATCATCGCTGCTCGGAGTGTTTTCATCCGCGGACCGCTCTGTGGTTCTGTGTCTGACTGTAGTCGGGACTTGGAAGCAACCGCCGCGGCGCCCATTCATTCAAAAGGATGTGGCAGTTAACGTTCCCCTTGCGCACCACCGATTGGTCTCGAAGCCGTGTTAGATGAAATAGGCTAGCGACTACTACAGCTACAGTAACTGTTGCACCAAAAGATCTCGGGCTCGGTCTTTGACACTTCCTCGGCGACCCATTTCAACATGCCAGTCACGGTGGTGTCCATCGGTCTGCGCCGTGACTATGGCATCTCGCGACAGAGTGGATGTGATGGTGTCTTGCTATGCATTGTACTCCTGCCATATATGTGTGCAGTATGGCGTGCACACTGAACTTCGGAATAGAGGCCGTGTCCAAGTTTGGCGAAAGCCTCCGAGACCGTGTGTCGACATGGGCACAACCAACGATCTGAGCCGAAGTTGGCGTTGGGTTGTTGTATGTTTCCAGGGACACGAGCTCGATTGTAGTCTTTCTGTGATTGAACTCGGATAGGTGGTCAGAGTGCATGTGGTGCGTTCTTCAACCATGTGTCTCAACCGTCGGCTGACAGCAGGGAAGACACGCCACATTGCTACCGCACGAGCGTATATAAAGCGCAGCACCCAGCCCACACAAAGCTCGGGAACCTCATTGTTAGCTTGGACTGCACTTCGAGTGGCTGACATGTTAGGCAGCGTTCTCGCAGCTTGTGCGTTGGCAGCCTCCGCGCTCGCTGCAACTCCGGCAGAGTGGCAGCAAAGGTCGATCTACCAGGTATGTTTCTCGCTTTGCACTGCAACACTTCTAATGTCTTGGATTCTGTATTTCAGCTTGTAACGGACCGTTTTGCTACCTCTGATGGCTCCTCGCCAACATGCGACACCGAAGACCGCATCTATTGCGGCGGTTCATGGCAGGGGGTCATCAACCAGCTCGATTACATCCAATACATGGGTTTCGACGCCATTTGGATCTCACCCATCGTTGCCAACCTCGAGGGCAGCACCGGTGATGGCTACTCCTACTTCGGGTAATGCGTTCTTCACACACCCCTTCAATCCGCTCACTTCCCTTGTACACCGCCAGGTATTGGACTGTGGACCAGAACGCATTAAATGAGCACTTCGGCACCGCGTCCGATTTGAATAATCTCGCCACAGCCCTGCACGACCGCGGGATGTACCTGATGGTCGACATCGTCGTAAACCACATGGCCGCGAACACGCTCCCGCCGGACTACTCCACCCTCACGCCCTTCAACGCGGAGTCGAGCTTCCACACCTTCTGCTGGGTCACGGACTACAACAACCAGACGAACGTCGAGCAGTGCTGGCTCGGCGACAGCAATGTCCCGCTCGTGGACTGCAACACCGAGGACGATGGCGTCATCGACTTTTTCCACAACTGGGTCGGGGAGCTGCGGAGCAACTACAGCGTTGACGGCTTCAGGATCGACACCTTGAAGCATGTCAGGAAGGATTTCTGGCCGGACTTCCAGACGGCTGCGGGTGTGTATGCCGTCGGGGAAGTCTTTGAGGGCGATGTGAATTATGTCGCGCCCTATACCAGTGAGGGATTTGACTGCTCACGCACCGAACGTCTCCGATTGAGCGCTTATTTACACAGAGGTTCTCGATGGGGTGTTGGACTATCCGACGTATTACCAACTCACGTCCGCCTTCGAGTCGACGAGCGGCTCACTCCAGAACCTCGTCAATGTTGTACAACAGGCACAGTCCGCATACGAGAACCAACTCTTCACAGTCGGCACATTCCTCGAGAACCAGGATAACCCTCGTTTCCAGAGCATAACCACAGACCAAGGAGTGAGTGTCCCAAATGCTAATTCCGTTTGCGCTGACTGGACGTTCTTCTAGTTGGTGAAGAATGCGATGACATGGCCGCTCATCGCAGACGGTATCCCCATCCTGTATTACGGTACGTCGGACGCACCACCGTCGGTAGCATGTTTGACCTGTGTAGTCTGACTGGAGCCGCATAGGTCAGGAACAAGGCTATACCGGTAGCAACGATCCCTACAACCGCGAAGCGTGCGTCGCTCCCTCGCCCCCACGCCGCGTCTTCCCCTTATTCTAATCATGTCTGCTCCTAGCCTCTGGCTTTCAGGGTACGTAATAGAGGACAAGCCCCTCGTGCACCACGTCCGCATCCTCAACGCAGCGCGCAAAGCCGCCATCGCCGCCTCCAGCAGCTATCTCTCCACCGCCGTACGTACATCCCATCTCCCCCAGGCTCATCTATCACATCTCATGGCTTCGCCCGCTATCCAACTGGATGCTCTGCTCGCTCGGTTTGTAGGTCACCTTCCCGTCGGTAGGCGGCAACACCCTCGCAGTATCCAAGTACCCCATGCTCTCGCTCCTCACCAACGTCGGCGCGAGCGGCACGCCGGCATGGGACGTCTCCTCGGGGACCGGCTACTCCTCGGGCACGGAACTGATTGACGTTCTCACGTGCACGACGTACACCGCGGGCAGCGGCGGGAGCGTCAGTGTCACCGGGAGCGGAGGGAACCCTGTCGTGAGTATCTGGGCTCTGCTGTCAGGTGGCGAGGCTGACGGACCGTGGGTGTCTAGATCCTCCTCCCGACGAGTGCGTTCAACACGACGTACTGTAGTGCGCTCGTTGGCACGAACTCGACGAGCTCGGACACCGTCGCGGTGACGTTCGAGGTGGAGTATGATACCGTGTACGGTGGTTAGTGGAGGATCCCCTCAATAATCGGTGTCTCTCAACCTGATGCCTACGCTCCTCCTACTCGTTGTAGAGAATCTGTACATCGCTGGCTCCGTCGCCGCGCTTGAAAACTGGTCCACCGGTGACGCGCTCCTCTTGTCCTCTGCGAACTACCCCACCTGGAGTCGTACGTTAGCTGCCGTCTTCATCACTCCGCTCTACTGATCTCCGCGTTGTCTGGCGCAGTGACGGTGAACCTGCCTCCGAGCACGACCATCGAGTACAAGTACCTCACGAAGAATAACGGGGACGTCACGTGGCAGGACGACCCGAACAACAATATCACGACGCCTGCGAGCGGGAGCGTCACGCAGAGTGATAGCTGGCATTGATCGTACAGGAACGAAATTGACAGAAAGACTGTTCGATACGGACGTTGACGGTAATATACAAGCAGGGTTGTACACGTGTACAAGATGTTAATGCATCGGCTCAAACAGCATATCACTGCTGCTGGGCCAGAAGTCGAGCATTCCGGGCTTGAGCGAAGAATAGATGCAGTTGATTATGCAAATCAATACAACTAAGGTACACTATGTCGTGGGGCATATACGGCATGCGTACTGGGAAATGATCGCTCAGCGTTGATATGACAAACACAGTAAGTCAGACATACCACGCAAGCACCGGCAGTCTTCGAGGCCTGAGACTGCGCCACAATTCCTTCGGACGCATCCTCAGCAGCTGTACGGCCCCTCTACAATTCGCGCTTGGTAGATCCCCGGCAGAACCGTGTCGCTGCCCACCAGCTCCTCGTACGTCCCCTCAGTGACTACGAATCCGCCTTCCGAGGATGTGTCGACGATGCGCACGGTGACGTCCCTTCCCTGCCAGCCCAGCACTACGCATTGGCTGCACAGCGGCGAGTCTGCGTTGGTGACGTTGGCAAACCCGGCGAGGTTGCCGGGAATGTCTCCGACCTGGGCGTACCCCTCGGCTGCCAGGACGGATCCGCAGGTGAGTGTGTCGACGGATGCGGTGGGGTCCTCGAACTGTTGGCCGTTGCCGTAGACGACGTATACGGTGTCGGATGCCTGGGCGAGGGCGAATGGGCTCGCTACGAGAGCAGCCAGAGCAACGAGGGCGGAGAAATGCATCGTGGTGCTTGAGTATCTCTGAGAGCTTCGAGGTGTGCTACCCGGCGTCGTAGGTATAGTCGATGCGCTGTCATACCGAGGCTTATATGGTGTCTTGAACCGGGGACGCGCAGGTCCCGCGCAATACGCCGACAAGGTTACATTGCCATCACGATATGATATGCATGCAGGAGTGAAGAATGCAAAGACGTACTAGGGGAGCGTGCGTTGGCTGTCATTAGGAGCGCCGCTAACACAGCGCTCAACGTTTGCGCGGGACGCCACGGTACTTCATGACAAACGTTCGACTGAGGCTAATGCAAAAATTGACAGAAGGGTGAGGCACCTGGCCTAGGGATGGCTGCTTTACGCAAGAGGTACTTAGCCTGGACCATGACCGAGTCAATACATTTCATTGAAACGTGATCGCGGCTCATAGCGTATTCCGAGAATCCGAACGCGCTGCCAGCGGCACTACGTCCGCTACGCGGTGTCTCTGCGTGAGGTTGCCCAAAGCCGTTGAGAAAGGCTGATGCTACTAGAATCCAGCTGTCCATAATCGCAGGCTATTTCCGTGAAGACGGCGCCGAAGTCGTGGTCCAGAGCAAGAGTTTGGGTTGCAGCGTATGCTTACAAGGCGATTGAATGTTCCGCAGGAACGGTGTTCACCAGTCACGCGCAAGAAGTGCAAGCGCAAAGTGTAACACTAGTGCCCGATGTTGAGCGAGTACTGTCGCGGTGCTTCGCATGAAGTGTATAAGAGTTGTGGAGGCCTGACAGAGTGCCCAGTGGCTGCCGCAGGTTGGTACGTTCATAATCTGAGATCGAACTCCGACTTCAGCGAAGCTTCAGCCACGAGGAGGCTCAGGCTCCTCAATCGTCCTCCGGTGACGTGCTTGAGTCAAACAGCTTCGAGGATCATATGTTTGGTTCCCTTTCTTTCTTGTTATACTGGGCTCAGCTCTGCGTGGTCATGGCGTAACTTAGAAGATATGCGATCCAGGCTTTGCGTTCATTTGTACGCTGTGCATCGACTCAAGGGGAGTCAAGGCCGACTTCAACACCATATAAATCAGATCTCGACTCGGAGCTCCCTGTACGTCACATTCCTAATTAACTGTGATTTGTGTCTAGGCTGTACTTATATTTATAGGCAGTGCTGTAACATGAAGCGGCTCAGAGATATCCGGAAGTCTGGTATTCTCGGTGTACTCACCTGCAGCGCTGTAAGCTTCAGCAGCTAGTAGGACCCTCCAAAACCCGAGCATCAACACTAGGAGGGATCGGCGTTTGGTTTCCCGTCAGAGTCTCATATGCGCCCTTCGTGGTCACGAAGCCGGTCTCCGCCGTGTCCACGACACGAATGGTGAGGAACGCCCCCGCGTACTCCAGGGTGTAACATTGCCCGCAGAGGGAAGAGTCTGTGCTGGTGATGTTGGCGAACCCGGCGATGTTACCGGGGATAGCACCGACGGTGGTGTACCCTTCAGCAGCGAGCTGAGAGCCGCAGGTGAGGATGTCGACGGATGCATCAGTATCGGTGTACTTGGAACTGAACGAGGTTTCCTCGTATATAGGAGGCGTGATCTGAGCAAATGCGAGGGTGCTCACGGAGAGCGCGGCAATCGAGGAGAGAATGGAGAAACGCATCACGGTAGGCGGCGTTGCTCAGAAGTGAAGGTGAGTGGTCGACGGTGATCAGGCGAATGGCTGAACAGTCCCTTATGAGCTCTGGGGCAAGTTTATATACCCTCCGACTCGTGCACTGCACAGTGCAAACGAACGGTGTTTTACCACCGCGTCTCTGTACGTCACATGTTCCGGTCTGAGAGGAGTGGGTTCGATGCTAGGCGATGCCTTCTCGCTGCATGGTGGCCGACGTGGGGAAGGCCGCAGGAGCAACAGGCCCCATGTGAGCCCTGCCACCGACTTTGACGCGACGTTTCTGGCGCTTTGATGCGCGTGCATTCAAACGCGACACACGTGTCTCGGAGGTGCAGGACATGATACAGCGCCGCGTCACACAGCAATCGTCTCACTTTGACAGGTAGCGCCTCGTATGATCTGTCCGCACACGAAGAGACGCGAAGCCGCGACCTTGGATGCGGAAGGGAGCGAAGGGAGCGATGTCCTTGACGTCATTAATCAGCCTTGATACTGAGGCAGGATTCGAACGCAGAGGTAAACACTGATGTGTGTTTTCAGAACCAACCGACTAGTGAACGTCGCCACCTAACTTACCTCGACAAGGTCACGGAGACGCATACAGCCCGGCTTTGACATGTCTAGATATACTGCCTCCGTAATGCCGCGATCCCCTGAACATAAATAACGCCCGTGCATTCACAGCCCACCACCACTCATTGAACCTTCGAACCCTTCGATTCCCCGATCGCACTCCAACTGCCCAACGGGACATGGTCGACGAAACTATAAAGGGTTAGAGATGGCGGGATTGCTTAGCAGCCAGTTGGGTGCCTGTTACGCGAAGCTAGGCGAGTGGAACACTACAAGCCACAAGCTTGCAAGGCTACTAACTTCGAAGAGAGGTTCTGTTTCTTAGACCTAGGAAGGACGCAAGTCCCTTCGTCCTAGTCGAGTTCCGAAGCGATAGCGGTATGAGAAAGCTAGCGTCGATTGCTAACCAGGTCGAACTGAAGAGTCCGACCTCTACTGTACAGGTATATATACAAGTGAACGAGTCTGAGTCAAGACGTATAGTAAGCATGAGTCAGGATATGTCATCGCTGACGAAGGAAGTGGTAATCATGACGAAGAAACAAGTCAGCAGGGTTCAGCTATCACATGATAGTCCGGGTGCGGTATAGTACATAACCGGTCCTCATGCACGTGAGGTGGTTAGAGATAACAAGTAAAATGAAATGAAAATGTACATAACATGGCGACTTGTAACATAAGCCCCTTCCTATGGTCGACGTCCGCGTTGACCACTAAGCCTCAGGATCTTGTTCGTCTCCGCCGTCGTTACCGTCCGCATACATGTCGTTGATGTCGCCGTTGAAGTCCCAAGGAGAGGGTACTCGACTCGAAGGTTGGTCTTCAACCGAGTGAGACTCCTCGTTGGACTCGACCAGCACCTGAAGAGATCCGACATGAGGTATACTTGCCGATCGTCTGTTGGCACGGATTCTGTAGATGGCGGCGTTGGTGTTTCGAGCCGCGACGGCCGGTGGTACTTCCGAGGGGGTAAGGAAGGTGCGATTGGGATCGTCGCTGTTGATACCAACCAAATACCCTACGACTTCCCCATCTGGACCGTAAACGACTTGTAGGATTCGTCGACCGAAGATTTGGTCGACGAGTTCTTCCGCATTTGTGGACGTAGATGCTCGCGGACCCTCTTCTCGTTGTTGCGCGAGAAGTTGGGCCTCAAGCGCGAAGAAGCCGTCGGTATTCATGGATGACGACGAAGAAGAGGGTCGAGGTGTTGGTGCAGCGAGGGGTTCTTCTTCGGAGTACGCTGGAGGTTGGGAGTACCTGGGCGGCGCATCCGCCAGTTCTGCGCGCGTAGGTTCGATATGGAAGTCCTCCTCCGACTGCAACGTAGGAGGCGAAACGATGCGTGATAGGGGTCGGGGTGGAGGGATTCCTTGAGGTCGACGCAGATGTGCGGGTGGCGTAGGGATACGTATAGGTCGTGCGACGAGGTCCGATGGTAGGATTCCGCGAAATCCTCCGTCGGGGTTCGTCTCATCGTAGTCCTCATCGTAGAACGGACCTATATGCCACTCATGCATATAGTTCTCGGCCTCCACCCAAGTATCGAATACCATTCCTCGCGTTCCGGAACGGTACAATCGGCTCAGGATCGCGTGCGTACCTATCCGGTAGATCCCCGGAAGTCGGCCTCGAGCTACGGCGTAATATCGAGCCGTCGGGTAGGGAGATGGAGGGAGGTGTCGACGACGACGAGAGGTGCGCTGTCGAAGGGAATACGGTTCTGCGAGGTTATTCTCATCGGTTTCTTCGGCGAGTTGTCGTGCTCCTCGTTGAGCGGCGTTGGTAAGCCGGACGAGGTGCGATTCGGAAAGGATGTCGGCAGCGAGGATCTCGGAAAGACGTCGACCGTGCGTCGTTGCTGGTCCCACCTGGGGACATGCACGGTTTGTATGGCCCGGGGCCGTACGTCGGCACTTGGGGCAGGTATACAGGAAACAATCAAGGACACGATGTCGCTGCTCGTTGTTGCACCCCAGGAAGCACACGGTTCTATTGTCGATGAGGGCTCGTGCTGCTTCGGGGACGAGGTCGTCACGGGTCACGTCCCTTCCGGGGTACACAAGGTTCGTGGGATCGCGCGCGCGTCAGGATCGTTGTGTGCGAGGAGCTCCGGGAATCGGGTGTGCTCCAACGTTTCGAGAGCCGCGGTGAGCGCACCGACAGCATCTCGTTCGTACGCTAAGAACTCGGCCACGATGTCCTGTCGCAGATGTCTCCTCATCGTGACCTCGGTTATTGCGTCATACACGCAGACTAGCGCGTCGAGGGCGTCGTGTTGTTCCGCGTTCGTGAGGGGAATCTCGACGGGAGGATAGGCGAGGTCGATGAGCTGCGTGTCGGGATCCAGGAACAGGTGCTGGACCATCCTCCAGTTTACGCGGGTATCGGGGGCTTCCTGCAACTCGGGTCGTTCAGAGAAGAGTCGACGAGTTTCGGCGAGGAGGGGAGTGGGAAGGATGGGAGAGGGAGTGCGGGCGATGGCAAAGCGAGACATGTCGGGTGGAATGAGGAGGTGAGTACGGTTCAGAGGACTGGAAGTGGGTTATCGTCTTCGCGGTTGAAGTCGATGCGGACGACTCCAATGCGATGCTTTGTCTTATACTCCAAGAGGAGATCATCTGATGTTCCGGTTAGGTTCCGTTCCGGTATCCATTCGTTGGCTGACGAAGGATAACCGCGCCATGACACATAGTACTGTCTCCGACTGGAACTTCCTCGGTGATTGATAATTTGCTCCACTTCGTATTCTTCTTCTCCGTCGATAAGGTCAGGTGGTGGCATCGTGTGATTGGGACCGTGAGTGTCCGTCGTTCTATATGGGGAAAGAAGACCGGCGTGGAAGACGGGATGGATTCGCCATTGCTTTGGTAGCGCTAGTCTGTAGACTCCGCGTCCCATGACTTCTGTGATTGCAAATGGTCCTTCCCGTTTAGGCGATAGTTTCCGGGATGGATAAGGAAGATGAAGGTTCTTCGAGTCTAGCCAGACCTTCTGTCCTTTCTGAAACGTCGGTGATCCCTTGCGGATACGATCTTCTACCATGCGTTGTGCGAGTTCCATCGTGGCTTCGGCTTCTTTCCGAACTTGTTGCAGGTTGTTGAGTCGTTCTTCAACTGAGGGAATGTTCGTGGGTTCGTGAACGGCTGGGATGGAGCGAGGTTCGTATCCCATCATTGCGTAAAACGGGGACATCTTGATTGTAGAATGCTTCCTAGAGTTATGTGCAAACTCTGCGTCGGGAAGCATTGATGCCCAGGTTTCAGGATTGTTTGCGCAGAGGATACGAAGGTAAACCTCGAGTTCTTGATTTGCTCGTTCCGTTTGTCCGTCCGTCTGAGGATGGTACGCCGTAGAGATTCGTTGGTCAATCTGAAGGATTTTGCACAGTTCTCGCATGACTCTAGACGCGAACTGGGGTCCTCGGTCAGAGATCATGTGATCAGGGAGGCCAAATCGTCGGTAAACCGTGTCGTGTAGCATGCGAGCAGTGTCTGCGGCGTCTTCAGATTCGGTGCAAGGCGTATAAATTACCCCCTTCGTAGAGTCGTGGTCCACAACGACTAAGCAAGAGTCGTATCCCTCCGGAGTGGGCGGAAGGTGTGTGATGTAGTCCATCGTAATCGTCGACATAGGGCGGGTGGGAAGCGAAGCGGGGATAGGATAGAGCGGGACCTTCGTGGGATGCGTGTTCGGTTTCATCTGCTGGCAGGGTGCGCATCCTTTGACGTATTCCGAGATCGAGTGTGTCATTCCAGGCCACCAGTAGCCTCGTTGTACGAGAACTTTGGTGCCGTCGATACCGGGATGTCCTGCTGCAGGAAGATCGTGGTGCAAACGAATGATGCGTCTTCGTAGATTTTCATCCGGAGGAACATATACTTTGCCCCGGTACCAGACAAGTTGTCCATCAGTTGCCCAGTCTTCGAGTGATGTGCGCGCGGGTGGTGGTCCCTTTCCGAGGAGCGCATCAAGTGCCTCCCGAATCATGGGGTCTACGTCGTGGGCGGCGGTGATCTGGTCCTTCAGTGTGATATTGACGGCTCGAGCGAAGACGGAGGATGGTAGCATGACCAGTTCATCGTTGTCTTCAGATCCGTCGTCGTGATCGTGTCGTCGTGAAAGAGCATCTGCAACAGTCATCTGAGATCCTGGGACGTGTTGCAGTTCGTAGTCGTATTCAGAAAGTTGAAGGAGCCATCGTGCCTGTCGTCGATTAAGCTTTTGGGCTTTCTTCCAGTACGTGAGGTTGCGATGATCGGATCGAATAGCCAACGTGTGTGGGGAACCGAGCAAGTACTGCTGCCATGCGTCAAGACCGCGTATGATCGCTAGCAGTTCGCGGTCATAGATTTCGTAGTTTCGTTCGGCGGGGTTCAGGATTGCGAAAAGAAACTGCACGGGTGCAGTTCATCATTGGCGTCCTTTTGCAACAGTGCACCCGACTGCAAACTTCGAAGAATCACATTCGAGAATGAACGGTTTGGCTTCGTCTGGCATGATGAGGA